TGGCACTTTTCTGCCCAGACGGTCGCTTCTGCACCCTGCCCTGTTCACACCATCCCCTCTGCCGGACACTTCCTCCGTTGCCCGCGGCCCCGCCCATTTCCTCTTGATGTTTCCTCTTATTTTAGGAGCTCAGGTGTCATCTACCCTAGGAAGTGCTCCTTGGTACCTCTTCTTTTTACCACCTTTTCTCTCTCTCTCTCTCTCTCTCTCTCATACACGTGCGTGAGCACACACCCTTGTTCTGTGTGAGCAATGGTATCATAGGGGAATTCTTTTGAATTTCACTCGCCATTAGCCTCTGAGATGGTTGGGGCAGTTATCAGGTTTTAGATACTGTATTTGAGTATTAATAAATTTTTGAGGAAGGAGGGAGGGGAGAAAGGCTCTTGAGGAACATATTCTTGAGTCATTTGGCTTTTTAACTTAATTCAGTTTTTGGCTTAATCTACAGTTGGCTGGCTACATGGGTGTAGGGAAAATGGGTGGTGGGCTCCTACATAACATTTTCTGATTAAAATCACAGGGAACACAAGCTTTTAATAATAATAATAATAATAATAGCAAGAGCAAGCTGGGCATGCATCTGCATTCACACTGTGTTCCCAGCCAGGGCCCCACGGGGAGCCTGAGGGAGCGGGTTGAGAGCGGAGTCCTGGACGCACACATGTGTAGCGGAGCGCGGCTGCCTTAACGAACAGCCCCGCGGAGGTGGGAGCAGCTGAGGTTCAGGTTGATGCAGAGCTGGGGTACCAACCAGGCCCCGTCGCCACCCCTCTCCACACCTCCGCAGGCTGGAAGGAACGGGCAGGCAGGGGAGCCCTGGCAAGGGCACAGAGAAGGGCTAATTGCATTTCCAGGGCACCCAGTCAGACCTTTGTCCCTGCCGAGACCCTCTCCCACTTTGGTCACAAGAACGTGAGGGTGGCTGTATGCCCCTAGGGTGCCAGGGCCCCGACCCACTCAACCGCCTTAGTCCTGAGGGGGAAATTGAGGGCCAGCTGGAGGCGGGAGCGTGGCCCCTGTGTGCCGAGTCTGCTGCCGAGCCCAGACAGCAAGTGTCCTGCCCGCCAGGCCCCTGGGACACCACGCTGCCCCTCAGTTGACATTTCCTTTCTGTTCAAGGGGATTACGCAGATCCAAGGTGGTTAAGCTGCCACAGGGCACTATGGAAACAGCGCCTTCCTTCCTCGTCGCCCACCCTCCAGCCACGCAGTGACGCTGAGGCTGACTTTTCTGACAGGACTAGTTATGCTAAATTGCAGAGCATGTGCACGATTTAATTTGAACCTGGGTGGGCGAGGGGAGAAGCCAGATTAATTACCAGAACCAGTTTCCGAGCCAAGTCAGATGTCTGCCCCCAAATAGTGGACCACCAGCTGCACGGTGGGGGGCGGCGTGTTACAGGATTTGTGTGTCAAATGTCTATTAAAATGTTATGTGCACACTTCAGTAGATAATTTACGCAATGCCTGACTGAAGCTTCCATACATTTTTAATGAGCCAGTTCTTTATTTCTGTTTTTATTGTATTTTAAGTGATTGATTAATTAGACTAAGCAACAACAACATACAGCACCTTGTCCTGAAAGTGAAAAACACAAAGGTTACATCTTTCTGCCTGTTTCCCAGTTGCTCAATTGCTCTCCCTGGAGGGGAAGGTACCATTTTGGGGTATGTCTTTCCAGATATTCAATGCATATACATATATGTACATGTATCCTGTCTTTTTCTACAAAAATCAGTGACTGTACCATGCACATTGTCCTCCCTACTTTTATTTTTCCTTAGCAGTACGTCTTGGCTTGTGTCCAGGCTAATATCTCATTATATGGATGGAACATAATTTCTTTAACTAGCTCCCTGTTGATGGACATTTAGGTTCCAATCTTTTACCATAACTCTCAGTGCCTCAGTGAATATGTATCTTTGTATATTTGCTACGCACGTTTAAGAATATCTGAGCTGCACTGTCCAATATGGAGGCACCCACCACATGTTCCTTTTTGTTTAGATTAATTTGAATTGAATGAAGTGTAAAATCCAGTTCCTCAGTCGTGGCAGCCACATCTCAAGTGCTGCAGTCACGGGCGCTCGGGCGTGCCCGCTGTGCAGGGGGTTCTGTCGGACAGCGCTGCTCCTACAGGACGAATTCCTGGAAGGGAGCTGTGAAGCCAGAGGTACCCCTGTGCCTCTTCGGTGTTAAGACATCGCCGCCTTTCCCACCGAAGAGGCTCTCAGCACTTACATTCCCCCGGTAAGAGCTCAGAGCGGGAGAGCACTTCTATTTCGGAACAATTACATGGGTTGTTGGGGGAAGAAAAGAAGGCTCCCTGCATGCTGATTGCAAGGACATTCTGTTTCTGTGGCCAGTGCCCCCGTCGTTCCGTTCTGGTCAAGCACTGCTATTGCCAGCCGACAGCGGGCACAGCTGCCACAGGGAGACCCACGCCGGTATCTGTTTGAGGCTGGCCTCCACCTCGCGGTGGTTGCTTCTCCCTGCTCTCAGCCTCTCCTCTCCCCTCTCCTGAGCTTCAGGGCGTCTCCACAGCCTGTCTCAGGGAGCGTGCAGCCCCTCCTGCATCCCTGTCACCGGGATACAGCCTTTACCGGAAGACCAGCCCAATCTCCACGTCCTCACTTTCTACCCTGTCCCCCTCCATCCCTGTGGTGATTGGCGGCCTCCCCCTTGCAGGGTCCCGTAGGCACTGCTGTCCCCGCCTTGCCTGAGCTCCTCGCTGACCTCTCCGTCGCAGTCTGCACTCCGTCCCTACCTCCTTGATGTGCTTGCCCCCTCAAGGGCACGGTGGTTTCTGCGACACTGCTCCTGCAGTCGGGTTGCTTCATCCCTGTGGCCTTTGCAGTCTCGGCCTCCTCGCAGCATTCACAACGCAGTGGTCGCCTTGCCCTCGTTCTAGCTTTTTCTGAGTAATCTCCTCCCTTCCGTGGCTTTGCTTAGCATCTTTTGGGGAATGCTCACGTATTTTAATTCTCATTTCCTCGGTTACCAGTAAGATGGAGCATCTTCATAGTGTGCATTTCCAACCCTAAGGACACCCGTTGATTCATTAGGTTGTCTCTGCTGCCACCTCCTCCATAAGGCCTTCCCCTCCGTCCCTTTAACTGGGGATCATTCTTTCACTCTAACTCCAGTAACATCCGTGCCTCTTTCATGGCACTTTGGACTCAGCCACAGGCACGTCTCTAGCTCCCTCAGACCGTGCGCCTGAGGGGAGCGGTGGCGGTGTTACAGCTGTCCCACCCTGGCCCAGCCTGTTCGTGCAGTAACCCGTGTTTGCTCAGTGTGGTCGAATGGACAATTTCCGCTGTGGCAATGACCACTCCATCTCTCTGGGCTGATAATACTCAGATTTAAAAAGCAATGTGTGTCCAGAATAGGAAAAAAATGAAAAGGGGAAGAATAAAGGAGCCCAGGGGGAGGGGATGTATTTTTTTCAAATGGACATCAGAGCCAGGGTGCAGGCAGAGGCAAATAAAAATGGCTTCTCCTAATGCGCTGAGGGATATTCTGCCAGCATCCAGGTTCTTTACCAGCATATTTCGGCAGTGGTACACCTTGGTGTCGGGCGATGGCTTGGCTGAAAGGAGGGAAAACACTGCGGCTATGCTGAAAAGGAAGAAGTTGTATTTGCCTTTTTGCCTGCGGAGGAGAGAAGAGAGGAGAGGGGAAGCGTCCCTTATGCAATCACGGCTGTGCCACCAGCTCTGAGCTGCTAGAAGCAGAACTGCATATGCACTCAGGAATAATCCGGGCCCTGCTGCCAGGGAACAGGGAAGTGTGTCCCACAGCTGATGCCAAGGCTCCGCTCGTGCCGACGTGCGGGACCCGGTGCTAGGCTGCCTCTTCCCTGCCCATGGAAGTGCAAGCGCACAGCCTGCCTATGTTCTCAGGCCAAGCGGCCCGCTGCCGAGAAGGGCCTGTGGCTGTGGGACGGGCAGCTGGTCCTCCAGGTGAACCAGAACTGCTTCGATGGTCAGCCTGCAGTGGCGAGGCCTGTCTCCCCGAGGCTAAGACTGAGCAGTTGAGGTGACGCAGCTGAAGAGAACTCAAGTTTCATTGGCCACTCTGAGCCTGGACGCAGCAGTGGGCACTGAGAGCTTACAGCAAGCAGCATGCATTGGCCAGCACAGCGGGCGAGCGGCTCCTGGTGGTTCGTGCTAGGCATCCGTTTCTGGGCCTGAGACCACTGGTCCTCTAGGATCCTGAGTCCTCTCTGTGCTTGCGCTCTTCTAGATCCTGGGCAGAATTGTCCTTTCCAAAGCTCTTGTGTGTAAAAGAACATGTTCTAGAACAATGGGGGCCGGAGTACTTCCCTTACAGGAAAACCTGTGATTACTGGTCTCCACACGCCCCTTCAGATCCATGGGGGCTGGCCCCTGTAAGGACCACACTACCCAGCGGCCCTGCCTCCTTGCCTCTTGCTGGGTTCCAGTGCTGGGACATCAGCGGACAACCAGTCGCGAGGCCAGCCAGGGCGCGTGTAAGCTCCCTCTCCTGGGCCCGAGCTTTGGCAGAGGCTGCATTCCCGTCAGGTTCCGGGAGCCCTTCTGAGGCTGTGGGGTAATCCCACTTTTCCTGTAGTGTCCGCCAATCTGTTCCCTTAACCCACACCCTTTTGAAGAATCTTCATTAAAGCTTCTCTCTCAAACCTTAGAACCAACACCCCCCGCCAACTGTGCATTTGCTCCAGGCCCTCTGCCTACACAAATAAAAGCCAGCCATACGAAACCACAGAGCAGTTCTCCTGAGTCCTGTGATTTCTGCATCATGTTTACATGTAGTTTTATGGTGAAACAGTGTCATTCCTTCTGGCATGACTTTAACACAGGAAGCCTCCAGGTGGGTTTCTTTAGTTGATGGTCACAAGTTAACCTTCACAGGTCCTGCTAAGAGTGGAAGATAAGGCAGCAGGGAGACATTTTTCCTTGTACAATTCACATTCAAATCTGGAAGCAAAACACCCACAAATCACTACAGATGGTAGAGATATTGTTTTATTTTTTTAGAGCAGGGCAGCATTCACTGGTTGGAGTTGGGGCCCCAGCTACTGCTCTGGCTCTCCTTGTGTCCAGGAGAGGACAGCCTCACTTCTGGGCACGCCGAGCTCCAGTCAAAAGTACGACAAAGGCCACCACGTAGGGAGGCACAGCGGTCCCTCACTGCCTGGAGGACCTCCAACAAGCCACCCCCTGGAGAGAGCGCCGACAGTGCTTCTGACGAGGTCTGGAGGTGGGGGCTTCCTCCCATCACAGCCTCCGAGCCTTCCTGGGGCGGCAGCCGTTGTGCGGGATGGGGGTGTTGTCTGTGATGGAGATCACTTCCAGGCCCCCCATGGTCAGCCCCTTGATGGCGGACTGGAAGGAGCAGAGAGAAGAGTAGAATGGCTTGGTCCCAGACACGAGGACCTACTGTGTCCAGACAGGGCTCGGTGGGGTCAGGGGGTGGGCAGGGAGGAGAGTGGAGAGGCTCCCTGGCTGTGATACCTGTAACCCCCACGCTGTCTACTCACAGAGGCCTCCCTACCAGACCCCCAGCCAAGCACCCAGTGCTGTCGCTTCAGTCAACCTGCCGCCGCCCACGGGCGCTCTCCCATCTCAGTGCAAAGCCTGCCTGCAAACCCTGGCACATCTTGGGCATTACACTTCTGTGGCTTTACTCAAGTGGCTGCCTCTGCTTGGAACGTCCACCTCACCTGGGTAATATCAAGGTATTCTTGAGAAGGCGGTAGAACTGTCACCTTTTTGGGGAAGTTTTCCTGATCACACCCAATGGCCTCCCAGCACCCTGGGCACCAGCTCTACCACTGCACTGGCTGGTCTGCACTAAGGGGTCCATTTGTGATAGTCCCACCTTTCTGTGCCCAGGGCCTGGCACACAGCAGGCCCTCAGTGACTATCTGAGGAATTATACTAAGTGACCTGGGCTTGCCCTGAGCAGCTAAGCAGATCGTAGTAACAATAGAAACTTCAAGCCCTCATGGAAATCCACAAGGTCCTTTTCCACGTCCCCTACCCTGCTCTCACATTTCTCTAACTGAAGAAGCAAGTGCACATCCTGGGGAGAATCACTGTCACTTACCAGGCGCCCTGGCCCCAGGCCTTTCACCACCACACGGACATGCGTCACGCCCTTCCCCGTCGCTTTCTGGAGAGGACCAACAGGCGGTTAGCGCCCCGGCGACGAGAACTGCCACCTGGAGCCACAGGGTCGTGCGCTCCAGGGACGAGGCAGCCACACGTGAACACAGGCAGAAGACAGGGAAAGGAGCACGGGCAGACGGCCACAGCGCAGGCCCAGCACCAGCAGGGCGCACAGGGCTTCCGTTCGCAGATTTACAGTCCGCTGTGGTCCCTTTTCACCCAGGGCCGCACTGCCACCTAATGGAAGTTTCTGAATGGTGCTCTGATTTTTCTCAGGTGGGTAAATGCAAAATCTCAGACCTTGGGGAGGAGCCCTGGACTTCAAGGCTGAGCTTTAACACCCACTCAAAAAGTGTTACTATTTTAAATCTTTAGTGATAGTTATGCTTTCCTTCTTGATTATAAAGGGACCACGATGGAAAGTCTGGAAAGCAGGCACGTGTCACTGAACCCCGCCTCCCCCGCGGAAGCCACTGCCAGCACGGACACGTTTCTTGTGCGGGTGTATAACCGGTCGGTTGTGGACACTCAGCACACTTTGAGGATCGTTAATGCACAGCAACCAATAGTTCTGGGCACTGAGTTTTGTTTGAAGGTCAAGGCTTTCCTTAGGAGATACTCCGGTTTGGCGGAACCAGTGTGCACCTTTGGAAGGCCTGTGCTACAGCTGACAGCGCACAAGCTTTGGTCCCAGGCGAATCTGGGTTCAGTTTAGGGAACCAAAATGATTGTGTGGCTCAATCTGTACCTGAACTGGCCCTTAAAAATGTGGATAGTACCAAGGGCATTCTGACAATTCAAGATAATGAATGTAAAGGGTTTGGCATATAGATGCTGAATAAATATATCACTAGCGGCACACTGCCAATCTGCTTCTAGTAAGGTCTGCAAGAGTTTACACCCAAATTGGTTTTCACCCCAGCGCATCTTCCCAAGGAGCCTATTACCACCAATCCCAGCATCACCTCACTGGTCTTTAACTGAAGGAGGCTTTGATAAGCCTCCAGCACCTGGCCCTTAGGTCTTCTAGAATGAACCAAGAAGGGAGTAACTCTACTGAAACTAAGAGGAAGAGACACGAGAAGCCTTTCCTCGCAGACCCCTTCAAACCACTCAATGTTTGGACATCGAACAAGAGTTGGCCTGTACCCCACTGCTTCTGAGAGGCTGGTTCTGGGAGACCCCCACCCAGGGACCAGACGTGCAGAAAGGGGGCACTGCCTGGAGGGAGCGGAGAGCACACACACTTACCGCCGCGGCCGCGATGCCCGCGGTCTGTGCCGCGATGCCCGTGCCCTTCTTGGCATTCCGAAACCCCTCTGTGCCGCAGGAAGTGCGGGCAAGGGGCTGGTTCGTGGCAGAGACCACCTGGATCTGGGTGCTGGGGAGGCAGAGAAGATGACTGTTGACTGTTCAGGGACCCAGGTGAGAAAGAAAAATCTGCTTCCACTTGGAGCTTACTAGTTACCCTGTTTGTGAACTTTTACAGGAGGCACCAGGAAGGGTCAGAATCATCCCCTAAACCTCTCTGAAAAATGGCAAGTCACATGACCTAAAGACAGCTCTATTATGGACTCAGTGTTTGTGTCCTCCTCAAATTCATGCTGAAACCCTAACCCCAAAAATGATGGTAATTGGAGATGGGGCCTTTAGAAGGTGACTAGGTCATGAGGGTGGTGCCCTCATGAATGGGGTTAGTGCCCTTACACAAGGTGCTCCGGAAAGTTCCCTCTCCACCATGATCTGCAGCCCTGGAGCGGGTCCTGCCCAGAACGCACCGTGCTGGCACCTGACCCTGCACCTCCTGCCTCCAGAGCTGTGAGAAAGGAATGTCTGCTGCTGAAGGCAGCCGTGGTCCTTTGTAGGGGCGGCCTGAGCAGACCGAGACAGGCTCCACAACCTGAGGGTGTTTACCCAGAGGCAGGGCAGCGCATTTGCCCCTAGAGCCCGTGTTCAGGTTTGGGCTGCTGCCCTGGCATTTTCTCCTAAACTTGAATGTTTTACATCAGGTCATTAAAAATTAAAAAAAAAAAAACAAAACAAAAGACTTTTCATTCGGGAAAGTTTCAAATCTATACAAAAGTGAATAGACTAGTATATGAACTCCCAGTGACCCATTACTCAACTCCAATAATTATCAACTCATATCCCATTTACCTTCATCTGTAAATCCTGTTCCCACTCCCCACACAAAGCCATTATTTACCTAAAAAAGTTAGGAACATTTTAAAATGTTAGGAACTGGATAATTTTAATGCTTATAAACTCCATTTCATGATCAAGTTTTTTTAAATAAGAGAAACACCTTTACTAATTGTTTCTGACTTTTAAAATTGAGAATAACTTGAGAATCCTTAGACTTGCTTCCCATTTCCCCCTTGGACATCACCACCCCGTCTTCTGGCCTGAAGAACCCCAAGAGCTCACAGTGCAGGGGAAGTGGAGGAGTGGCTGTGGCGTCCGCCCTGACCTGGTGCCCTCTGCTTGGCCTGCCTACAGCTGTCATTTCCCCACCAGGGCCTTTTTGGTTTTCTACACTGAACGGAAGCATAAGAGACTTGCCCAGCCCTGAGACAGCCCAAACCGGGAGCTACCGAGGAGGTCCCGCCGCTTGTGATGCTGAGTGAATCCTGACGTCTCCCCGACCTGTGCCCACACTCTATCCACGACTACCAGCAGTCTCTCGTACTGTCCTCTAAATTGCTTTGTGGGCAGCTTGTGACCAAACACTGACCCGTCTCCAAGGGGGCGCTGGCCTGCAAGCTGTCACTGATGTCAGCAGGCGTCTGTTGCCAACATACGGTTGGGAACTCCCTTGACACCCGTTTATAGGAAAGCAAATCTTATTAACAGGAATGCCCAACCAAGGCCACATTTTCATGAAATCTGAGTGAATGTTACAAAGACAGAAGCTGGTTTCCCCAGACCCGGAGGGAGCCCGGCGGACATCCGGATCAGCACCGCCGTGCAGAATGCGGCGCCCTGGCTTCCACCCACGCAGGTGCCCAGGCCACCCTGCCCTCCCTGTGAGGGGGAAAGGAGCCCTCCCAGACCTGCCCAGGGGCTCCCCTCCCTGCTTACTTGTTGTAGGACGCTTTGATGTGCGCGATGGGGATCTCCTCAAATGCCTTCCCTGCCCACCTCAGGGAGCTCTCCTGTCCTGGAACTGGAGGGTAAATGCTGGAATCAGAAGAAACAGTTTATGTGAAATGGTCCTATATTTGTTAAAGTCAAGGAAATCCAACAGGACAGACAAACTCAAGGAAAAGCAGCAGCCCCCTGCCAACCGGCTCCTGAGGCAGCTGCCCCATCATCCCTTCCCAGTCCTGGTGCCACCCTCCCGTCTGTGAACACTGCTTACATGGCTGTCCCTTGAGCTGCTGCCTCGAGACACAGCGAGTGACTTTCTGCTGGAAGAAAAGAGATACACCCGTCCTCCCACCTGGCTTGACCCTTCTAGTGTAAGCAGATCAGCGTTTGCAATCCTCTCCAGGATCCGCTTTCTCTAACTTAAAAAAGATATAGATAAACCTCTTTCTTGTTTCATCATTGCCAAATGACATCTGGACTCTATAAAAAAAGGACAAAATTTTAGTAATACCTATATCATTACTATAAAAAAAGATCCAGTGTCCCCTAGAATGGAGGTCAGCAGACTTTCCCTGAAAAGGGCCAGGGAGTAAGTACCACAGGCTTTGCTGGCCTGAGGCCTCTGGCGCAGCCGTGCAGAAACGGCCGCAGCAACAGTAGGTCAGTGGCGTGGCTGTCCCAGCACCACTCCACTGCGGCTGGCCACATCTGCCCAGGGGATGTGGTTTGTCACCCCCTCAACCCAGACCAACGGTTCTCTCTCTGAACAGCAGAATCGTCTGGTACCATGATGGGCGAGCTCCACTCCAGACTTCTGCACAGGCCTGGGACCTTGTTTCTAAAACGCCCCCGGTGGCTCACAGGGGAACCTGGGGCTGGGAACGCTGGCCTGGGCACTCTGACGAGTTGGAGACCTTTCGCTCTCTCCACCCCATTTGTTCCTGGCTATCCTGGGTCCCTATTCTCCACTTTCAGGTGGAGAAACTGAGGCAGGAACAGGGGAAAGGGTTCCCTGGGGAGCCAGGCCTTGGGCCTAGGAGACCTGCCTCCATTCAGAGCTCTGCTTCGCATGCTGCGCTTCCTTCCATCCAGGCCCACCCAGCTGCCATGCAGCACCTGAGACGTGCGGACACCTGCTGCTGTACCCTGCCTGCGTGTGCAAATCAGATCTGTGTTTGTGTCCCCACCGTCACCTGAAATATGCAGATTTAGGTTTAGAAAATACACTAATATCTGAGAACAGCCCTCCCCTCAGCCTGACCAACTTTCCTAGTGATATTTAAAACAAAACAACACAACACATTGGTATTCAGGAACTACAAGTGTTTTCCTTCCTGCTAGGCCTGATCTTAAGAGATGATTTTGCATCTCAGCAGGTTCCTAGTTTATCAGCCTGCACGCCAGGATGGAAAGTGGGCAAGCCTCTGAGATGACATGAATGTTTAAAACATCATTGTTTACCAATTGAAAATTTCCCCTACTGACTTGAGGGGTTGCAGTTAAAAAAATTAAGTTGACTAAAGTCTGAATGTACCAGTTGGCCTTGTGTATAAAGCAAGTTTTCTGAACTAGGACGGGCTTGGAACTTGAAACATTTAATTGAAGGCATGGATATCAAGCCTTTACCTCCCAGGTCCACTGTACAAACAAGCAAGTGGTTCGCCCCACAGAAGCCCAGGAAAAGGGAAGACGCTTTCTGGGCTGGGACTGCTACCTCTTTGTACCCGTACCCATCCTCCAGGCAGGGAAGTGGAGAGAGGGGCTGGCGGGGGCACATGTGGCTTCGCTTTTGCCCAGCTGAGGAGGGCTGACGTCAGCCGCAGTTCTCCCCTACTGGGGGCCTGAGAGGAGGGCTGTCTGCTGCTGCGAGTGCTTCAGGTGCGAGGATCTCCCGATCCCCGGGCCCGTCCCACCCAAATGGGCCCTGATGCAAGTGTGGCGGGCGCTGGAGTCTTGGCTGGGTCAGCGCAGCTCTGCTCCCAAGTGGGGAAGACCCTGCCTCACGGTCCTCAACCCATTTCCCAACTGCGGCTACAGACAGTTTTTAGAAATGAAGATAAATGTAGAAAAATGCAAAGACCATAGCTCAAGGCCCACTACTCCTGCCATAATTATATGTAGGACTTCGGTAAGAGCCTTCCAATTCCAACCCTTGTCCTCTGTTTCCTGACTTCCTTCTCTCAAGCGATCCTCTGTCCTCAATCCTAACCCCAGCTACTTATTCTCGTGGTAACTAGGCCTTGTCATGACCATACCTGCAACCCCATGATAATTGGGGTTCCCAGCATCACACTCTGGCACCACCTCCTGGCCCACCCACTGGCTTCCTCCACTGGGAACCCCTCCATGCCACTGGTCCTGCCAGCTTTTCCCTTTCCTTCACAGTCCCGAAGTTTTCAGTTCTGCTCTGACCTCAAGCTGATTCCATGGCCAATCGTTATAATCACTCCCTTGCACATGCCCTCCATCCCCTGCCCCCAACTCACTTCATTCTATGCTCCTGGCAAACCCCTGACCCTGGTTACATCCATTTCTCCAGCCACCCTGAGTCCAGGTGTGCACCTGCACAGCTGGCTGGAAAAAAATACACAGCAGCGCTGACTGGTCTCTCTGTGTCATGGTTTCTCTCTCAGCTTCAGCACTGCTGACACTCTGGGGCAGGTAAGTTGTTGCTGTGGGGGGCTGTCCTGCACACTTTGGGTGTTGGGCAGCGTCCCTGGCCTCTACTCACTACGTAATGTCTCCCAAGTTGTGACAACCAAAAATGCCTCCAGACACTGCTAGCAGTCCTCGTGGAGGCAAAATCGCCCCAGGCTGAGAACCACTGCTTCGTTCTGCTGACTTCTAACCTCAAGTGGCCTTCAGCCCTGCCTGGCCATCATACGGCACATCCCTGGTTCATTTATCCATCCATTCTCCTGGATGACTATTTTATACCTTCTTTTGTCTCCTCAAACCTCCAGTTCCTTCCTGCTTCCTCACTGACAGCGGATGACCTTCACAGAGAAATAGAAGCAATCAGAATTGTGTCCAGCTCTCGCTATCAAACACCTGGGCCCCAATCTTTGCATGCTCTCCTCTCACGATGCTCCACTTGTGTGTCTTACTCTCTTGATGGTCTCAGTCTCTCAAGGACGTCTCTCCAGTGGCGTTCCGGCTCCGGCATCATTGTCCTTTCCCCTCCTGACTGTAGCCCTCCCATCAGCAAAACATGCTGTCATTTCCCCCAACTGAAAAATAAACAAAAACCTCTCGATCTCAAAGCCTCCTTGAGCTACTGCCATTTCTTTATGGCTGATACAGCAGAACCCCCTCAGAGAACTGGCTGTACCTGCTGTTTCTTCCTGTCTTCTGTGCTTGAGCCCACTCCACTCAGACTTTAGCCCTCATCACTCCACCAAAAATGCTCTAGTCACGGTCACCGAACAACTCACAATGTTAAATGCAAGGAGCAATTCAGTCACCCGCTTGTCAACCTGTTGTATCAGAAGCATTTGACATAACTCATATTTGCCCATGAACCACATTAAAAAAAAAATCTTTCCAGGTCCTCCCCTGCCATCCACCCCCTTTTCTTTTTCTCTTGCTGGTTCGTCCTCATCTGCCCAATCACGAAATGTCAGAGAGCTCCAGGACTCAGTGCTGGGCTTCTCCTCTTCATCCACACTCACTCTCTCGATGGTCTTACAGTCTCATAATCATCATCTATGCTGAGTGTTCCCCACGTGCTTGTCTGGCCCCGAGCTGTCCCCTGAACTCCATTTCTAATAGCCAACATTGTGTCTCCACTGGGATCTAATTAAGTATTTCCAACTTAACCACCCAATTCCAAGCTCCTGCATTCTTCTCCGTCTTTCTAAGCTGTTTAAGCCAAAATTTTAGCGTCGTCTTCATTCCTCTCCTTTCTCACACCAAACACGAACCAGTCTTGTTGGTTCTACTTTCCAAATGTATCAATCCGACCACCCCCACAGCTGCCACTCTGGCCCAAGCCGCCACCATCTCTTGCCTAGATTATTAAAAGAGTCTTCTAACTGCTTAGAAGATTTCTTGCTCCCTTACAGTTCAATATCAACACAGCAGCCAAAGGGACTTCTTAAAAAATGTATGCATGATTGTGTCAACTCTCTTCAGAACTCTCCAGTGGTCCCCCCCATCTCACTCAGGGTGAGAGCTGAGGTCCTGACGAAATCTCATGTAGCCCTGTGTGCCTGCTACACCCGCAGCCCCTTGGCCTCCACCTCCGGTTTTTACTCCTCGCTCCATGTTGGCCTTCTTGCTATTGCTTATAAACACTAGACACATTCCTACTATCCATCATTCTCCCATGTTTTACCTGCTTTATATCTGCTGTCCCCTTTCCACTAGAATTTAAGTTCTCCGGGGGCAAGGGTTTTTGTGTGTTTGGTCACCAGTACGTCCCCAACACCGTGAACAGTGCCTGGCAATGTTGAATGACCAGAAGAGAATCTTGACTTACACGTCTTTAGAACCCCCCCACCGACCTACAGTGGGGGCAGTGTAAAAGCCCTGGTCACAACAGACAAGGCCCCTGGCATTCTGATTCCTTCTTGTCCTGCTGACCTCATCTGCCATCACACACATACCTGAATATACTGTGTTCTGTCATATCACACACACACACCTTTACACAGGCTGTTCACTTTGCCTAAAACGACCTCTTTCATCTTGTCCAGCTGAACTTCCATTCAATCCAGTTGTCAGCTCCACGTTTTTCTTCTCTCCAGCCCTACCCGATTCATTCTTTCATACTTCCAAGCAACCAGTTCTTATCTCCAGTATGCTACTGGTCAGATTACGGTGAAAATGTTTATATGCTTGTCTTCCCTACTGTGGGGAGGAACGATCTTTTGTATTGGTGTTTGTGTTGGTGCTTGGCACACAGCAGGTTCTCAATAAATGTTTGTTAAGTGGATGTGAAGCACACTTAGCACGTAGAGGTGGTGGCAGTGGGGGGAAGCAAGATGCCAGCCCCGAGGGCTGAGCACAAAAACTTCCCCAGACCTTAGAGCAACTCTACAAAGTACATAATAATCGAAACCGTCCTGTACCCTCCTTCTTCCCATTTTGTGTGCTAGTCTGCAGTGGTCTCCCTCTCCCAGGGGAAGAAAGCTGACATTTATTATACAGCTTAAACGTGCGCTTATTCACGCAAATAAGGTTCACTAAGCACCAGCTTGCGTCAAGCAAGGCTCAGCTCATTTGGTTTTCACAACCTCTCTCGGTAGTATACTCGTTTTTAGTCGATGAAACGGAGCCTTAGAGGTTAGTTCTCATGATGTCGCACAGATCGCAACTGACAGAGTTGGGAATTCCCTGGTTTTCACAGTCTGGGGGGCGGAGGTGCCGGTTTCCGGCGGGCTGGACCGAAGTGGCCCTCACCTGAAGCTCCTGCGGCTCGGGGCCGGAGCCTCCGTCTTCTCCTCGACTTCCTGCTTGGCCGCCGCGTCCCGCAGCTGCTGGGCGCCCGTATGGACGGTGGCGGCCGGCGCCCGGGCCACGACCCTGCGGGGAAGCTCGCTGAGGTCCCAAGCCTAACAGCCACTGGAGTCCAGGCGGCTAACTGGACAAGGGCGGGAGCGTACTCCCAGACCTGGCCGTGGGCTCGGAGGGGGCAATCACCCTTACCTGCTCGTCGGTGGCCCTGCCCATGACCACAGAAACCGAGACCCCGCGGTTCTTACAACCTGCATGACTTGGATTGACCCCAATGAGCTCCCGTCCGCGGCGTCGGCACCAGGAGCTCCTGGGGGGGGGGGGGGAGGACACAGGAACAATCATCTGGTTCCTCTTTACAAAGTCCGTCGAAGAGTCTTATCCCAATTTACATCGCTATAGTTACCATCGCTGCTATTTTCAACTGGGAGTTCTCTTCCTTTCCCTTACCCTTCTAACATGAGATCTTCGCCCACCCCTCCACATTGGAATGGTTCCTTCTGGTCGTTCAGGCTCAGAACTCTGCCCGACGCGCCGCCCCCGCGCTGCCTTGTGGGAACTTGGGATTGGCTGGGTACCGCTGAGCCGCGGTGTATTGTGGGAGGGCAGAGATGGCGGCGCCTGGAAGGCGCGGAGTTTTAGGGGTGGCGAAGGGCTGCCGACGTTTTGAGGGGTTGTGGGCCAGTCGCCTGGGTTCTCGCAGCCTGACCCTTGCGGCCGCACCGTCGAACAGCGGGTCTCCATGGCGCCTGTTGGGTGCCTTGTGCCTACAGCGGCCACCGGTGGTCTCGAAGCCGTTTACCCCTTTGCAGGAAGAGATGGCGGCTCTACTACGGCAGGTAGATTTGAGGGCAGGTCGCGGCTTCAGGGTGTCTGTCACTAGGGACCCAATAGAGGCACACGGGCTTGGGTTCGATCCCGACTCGGGCAAGAATCAGTCCGTGTGACCTTGGAAAAGTTACTTCCCCTCTCAGAACTTCAGTGCACTTACCCGCAAAATGTTACCTCCCTTTCTGGGTTGGTTTGGTATAGAGTAGGCTTTCAATAAAACGTAGTTTGTTTACATTGACCTTCTTTACTGTCACCTTAGGCAACTCTCTGGAGACACCTTTTTCATTCAGCACACGAGGGAAGCGGCGGTGAACAAGTCGGAGTCAGTCTGTGTCATAGGTAGTTGGCAGTTTGGAAAGGAGAAAGTCTTTGTGATGAGTGTTAGGAGAAGACAGTAGCCCGTCTGTAAAGTGTCAGTGGTAAAGCCAGCCCTGTCTTGCCTCCCAGGACTGTTGGTGTGAGAGGAAAGTGGGGAAGCATGGGCACAGACTGGGTGCCGTAACTGTGAGGGTCTTCAGTCCCCTCAGAGAGTGACTAAAGAATGGTGTGTTCCTCTAGAATATGAAATGTTTTTGTCTTAGCTGCTGAGAGCTATAAATTTCACTTCGTGCTTTTTACTTGGTGTGTTAATTTTCCCTGCAAAGTATTTCATTAATCATTCTACAGATAATCATTGAGCGGTTACTTTGTGCTGACAGATATTGTGCTAACATGGTGGGGCTGCAGCCCTGGCTGGTGTGGCTCATTTGACTGGGCGTTGCCCCGCAAGCGGAAAGGGCACGGGTTGGATTCCTAGTTCAGGGCACATTCCTGGGTTGCAGGCTCCGTCCCTGGTCGGGGCGCATCCAAGAGGCAGCTTGATCAGCGTTGCTCTCTCACAGCGATGTTTTCTCCCTTTCTTCCTCCCTTCCCCACTCTCCAAAAATAAATAAAAATATCTTGAAAAATAAATAAAATGCTAGGGAGGTAGCGGGAATAGGATAGACATAGCTGTGGTTCTCTGAGTGCTTCCGTCTGGGGGAGGGCGGCCCATCAAGTAATCCCATGACTCTAATTGCAGCCTCGGGTAAGTGTTGTCAAGGAAAACACAGTGCTGTAAGAGGATTTAACAGGGACGTCTAATTTTGACTTTAGGAGAGGTGTCAAGGAATGTCTCTCAAAGAAAGTGATATTTAAGTTGAGATCTGAAGGAGGAGTAGGAAATCTCCCAGGAGGGGAAACCAGGAAGAAGGAACAGCGTCTGTAAACTCTATGAGGCAGACAGGTCCACGGTGAGTGTGGCTCTGATCAAAAACGGACGTGACTGGAGTGAGGTAGTGGGCAGGCAATGCCCGTCCCAGGTCTCTATTCCCAGCCTTCTTGACCTCCAATCACATCCTGACATTTTGGCGTCTGTATCTCGAGCCCCAAGAGCAGGCGACCTTTTTCTTTCTCTGTGTTTTTCTGTGGTGTTTCGGTTATATGTCTGGTTATGCTGGGTGGTAAACTTCTGAGTCTGTCAGGTGTGCTGTTTCTCTGTTTTATCCTGCCTGTTTTCTTCTTAATTTTGCAGATTGAGATAGAGAGAAGCCTGTACTCAGACCACGAGCTCCGTGCTTTGGATGAGGCCCAGCGACTGGCAAAGAGGAAAGCGGACGTCTATGATGAAGAAGATAGAGAACAGGATATATTGCTGGTACAGGATTTGGAAGATATGTGGGAGCAGAAGTTCCTACAGTTCAAACCTGGAGCGCGAACCACAGGTTTGCGGTCTTTTTAGGCCAGTAAGAGGAAAGGGAAAGGGGAGTGTTTTGGGTCCCAGACAAAGGACAGTTGCTTAGCCCTGCTTTGTGTTTTAAAAAACAAATAATTGCAAGTGACAAAACTTCTTTCAGGTGAGAGAAAAATAAAATTTTTTTTCTCTTCCTCATATCTGTCCCTAATATAATAATTTAAGGCTTTTGTTATTTTTGAATAGGAGGTAAGGATGTTAGGATAGCCTTTTCTCTCTCATTTAAACGTTATGAATGTTACCTGAATTTCTCCCCTATTTTGGACTGAGAGAGGGGGAAATAAGGCCTTGTCCCATTAGTTCTCTGTGATTTATCTGAAAGCCCTCCTAAATGAGGGTTGAGTTCTCTTATCCTTGTTTCACAGAGGAATAGTGAAGAGCAGATAGGGGTAGTTAAGGAGTAGCAGGGTCAAAACCACGGAAGGAACAGGGTTTGAATTAGTATGGGTATCATTTCTTTTCCAAAGGCTGAAAGTACTTTATGGTTTGCGCTTCAAAGGAGAAGTTCAGCTTTTGGTTTCCTCTTCTTATATTCTAGTTTCCTCAAGATAAAGGTCAGAGTTGGGAAAACAGGTCACAGTTGTAATTTGATTATACTAGGCCCCCGCCCCTGCCCCTTGTCCACAGGGAACACATTCCATGCCCCCTGGTGGTTGCCCAAAACTGTGGATGGTACCAAACCCTGTGTATGCTATGTTTTTCCCTGTGCATATACACTTATGGTCAAGTTTAATTTATAAATTGGGCACATTTAGAGGTTAACAATAGTTAATACTAAAATAGAACAATTATGGCAAATTACTGTGATAAAAGTTACGTGCATGTGGTGTGTCTCGAAGTATCTTATTGTATTGTACTTCCCGTTTCACTGATAGGAAGCACTTAGGGCTCCTCTCTGGCATATCTGAATTTCTGGCATCACTGCTCTTGCGCTTTGGGGCCATTATGACAGGCAATGAAGGTTATTTGAGCAGAAACACTGCTGCTGTGACAGTTGGTCTGATGACTGAGATGGCTCTGTGACCCATGGGTCCGGCGTGTGTGCAGCGTGGAGACGCTGGGCAAGGGACAGATTCAAGCCTGGGTGGGAGGGGACAGGATGGTGCGCCATTTAACACATGAATAGTTTATTTCTGGAATTTTCCGTTTATGATTTGACTGTGGGTAACTGAACCTGTGGAAAACGAAACCACAGATTCCAGGGGGTTGAGGGGGAGTCTGTAAGTTTCTTTGAGAGCAAGGATTGTGGGTCTACCTTAAAGGACGACCGTGAAGCTCTAATCACCTTGGTTCTGGCGGATCACAGTTATCTTGTCTCCTTTGACCCTCTTTTCTTTGCAGAAGCCGATAAGAAGAACGACCGAACCTCACTGCACCGGAAGCTAGACAGGAACCTTGTTCTGCTGGTCAAAGAGAAGCTTGGAGACCAGGAGTTTTGGATGCTGCCCCAGGCAGAGTGGCAGCCTGGGGAGACACTCCGAGGAACAGCTGAGCGGACCCTGGCCACACTCCCAGGTGAGTTCTCGGCCACCCTCTAAGCCCCTCGAGGCTGACGTGTGACTCAGCCAGGGGATTTACAGGCTGACTGTGAGGGCGGATTTAAAGGTAAGGGTTTCCCTTAGGTGAGGTAAGAGTGCTTCTTTGTCTTTTAAATTTCGTACATTGACTCTTGAACAACATGGGTTTGAACTGTGCAGGTCCACTTATACTTTGATTTTCTTCAATAAACGCATATAATGCTGTAGGTGTATTTTTTTGTGATTTTTTAGTAACTTTCTCTAGCTTATTAAGAATACGGTGTATAATATACGTACGTACAAAATATGTGTTAATCGACTGTTTACGTTATTGGTCAACAGTAGGCTGTTAGTAATGAAGTTTTGGAGGAGTCAAAAGTTATACGTGGATTTGTGACTGCTTGAGGGGTTGGTGCTCCTAACCCCTGTCTTGTTCAAGGGTCAACTGTACGTTCAGAATTGATGTCACTGCCATTCTCTCTGCCTGCTTCTGTTCTTGTCCTTGCTTTTTGGCACTGCCACTCACCTACTCACTTAACTAGAGGCCTCAGAGTTATCCTGGATCTCGTTCTGGCATCCGTAAATTCTTGAGTCCTACCTGGTCTGCTCTGACTATTCTCCTCTTTGTTCCCACAACTTCGGCTGTGACCCCTTTACTTCTTGCTACACTAGGGTTTATCAGCCTTGGCACTACTGATATTTGGGGCCAGAAAGTTTGTGGGCACTGTTCTGTGCATTGTAGGGTGTTTAGCAGCATCTCTGGCCTGTATCCACTATATGCCAGTGGCACTAACCCATTCTCCCCCCTCTAGTGAGACAACCAGAAATGTCTGGACAATGCCAAATAATACCTGGGGGGCGAAATCACAGGGGTTGAGAACCACTACGCTGGCTATTGAAGTTGCTGTCAAATAAGCCCCCCCTTCTGTGTCATGCCCTTTAGTACCACTAGAAATGAGCTTGCTAAGACACAGATCCCTTGCCACTTCTCTAGAATTCTTACAAGGTTTCCCATAAAAGTTCAGACTGTCAAGCATGGCCTGTAAATCCTTTTTGCTCTAATCCCGAGCTCATCCGTTTTCTGTCTTGCTTTTCAATAATGTGTAGTCTAAGTTCTAACTGAGCAAAACCTTTGCATTCCTTGAATAATGTGGTCTTTCATGCATCTCTGCTTTGATGCACGCTAGTTTCTGGTTGAATGCTTTTACTCCTCCCTGGTCCAGCTGCTCAGTTTTTAAGACTCAGCTCGTTTGTTTACTTTCCGCGGTGGAACCTTCTCCAGGCCTCTGGGTAGAGAGAGCTGTCCTCCCTGTAGGCTCCCATGGGACTCTTGTGTGCCCTTACTCAGTTTACACAGCAGACGTGCACTCTGTGCCTTTCCTTTGCTGGACCCTGTCTAGGCAGTGGAGTCACAGTGGTGGGCAGGACATGACTCTTGCTCCCAGGGAGCTTATGTTGTAGTGGAGAATACGCTCTTTTGCTCATCCCATTGCCTTGTAATCGTTTATTAACACATTTTCCAACCCAGCGAGAATTCTGGCTCCCTTGAAGGTAGGTGCAGCATCTAGTCTTCTCTGTCACCCGAGCACTTAGCAAAGTACCTGGCATGGAGGAGGTACTAGCTGAGTGTTTATTGAGAAAATGGATTTGGTGATATAAGCACCTCCAGCTTCAGAATCTGCTAACGAAACATCGGCAGCCCATGTGTGTACCCCTTGACCCTTTCCCTCGAGGGGCCTGGGTGCCTGTGGGGAGAGGTAGCGGGACAGAGTGGAATCGGTGGGCTGCGTTCTCAGTTTTCTCAGCCATCCCACGGGAGTTGGCAGCTGGGTTTCTTGCCAGGGTCGGTGCATTCAGATGCCCAGCTTCCCTCATGTCAGACACCGTGAGTGACGCATGCTCCGTTGGGCCTCCTGTGTGCCACGCAGGAAGGGGTTCCACCTCGGCTCTGCACTGTGCTTTCAACCTTCCTGCGGCAATCAGTGAACCGGCAAGGAAACGCATTTTTAAGATGTTGGTATTTAAGTGCATGTAAAATAAAATACGTTGGCCTATTGCAAATTTACTGAAATGGCAAATCAAAGTTTAAGCAATATAGAAGCATATTTATGAAAAAAGTGAAAGCCTGTGTTATCCCCCCCCTTGGCACCATGCTTTCCGTGTATTTCGGCTGGAATTCCTAGAGGCGGGATTCATGGTCGGGGAGACACATGTACGTTCCTGGTGGGTGCTGCCCAGCGGCCCTGCCCAGTGCACCCACCATGTGACATCTTCCGCAGTGATGTAGAGGAGCACCTGTTTGCCTAGGCACACCAATGTGCAGTAGTTGCTTTTTAATTTTTGCCTATCTAGTCAGTAAAAATGATTGCTTTTGGATTAGCATTTTCCTAATTGCTAGTGACATCCACCATCTTTTGTTTATTGGTTGTTTGTATTTTTTCTTGCATGAACTGCCTATTCACATTCTTTGCTCATGTTTGTGATAAAGTTGCTTTTTTATTTTCTTAATTTGATTATATTTTTTAACCCATTTTTTTCCCCAAGATTATAGAAAAGTAATATGTACCCATTGAATTAAGTGGAGATTTCAGAAAGGTATAAAGGTGCCTACTGATAAAATCCCACCACTCACAGACACCCACTGTTGACATTTTGTATTGTACATAGTGTTGTTATTTTTTTAATATTGAGGAAATCAATTCATTGTATACGGTGAAAAAATTATCCGTGTCTAGTAAATGGATTATAGGATAAGGAGTAATTTTCCCTTCTCAGAAGTAATCACCATTAAGAATTTTTTGTGTATGCTTGTAGAAATGGCAGGCACGTACTTATTCTACCTGTTTCTTCTTTCCACACAGTTGAAGCATATTTCTACAGTTACATGCTGTTTTCCCCCTCCTGTATACAGCCTTTAATGAGCTCTCTGTATTGGTACATGAAGACATAGCTTACATTTCCTAACACTAGTGTGCTATCTGATTATATGTATGTACTGCTGTTTGTTTAACCAGTCTGTTGCTTTTACAAATAAAGCTGCAGTGAACATCCTTGTACAATCATCTCTGCTCACACAGACAAATAACTACATCTGGGACGATGAAGTCCTGGAAGCAGGGTTGCTAGAAGACTGGGTTACATGTAAGTTACATTGGTAACTCACTCTTGCCAAATAGAGCAGCTGTGCTAACTACATCCATTGCAGAGGAGACATTTTTCCCTTCGCCTGGACAAGCAGTATACGCTCAGCTTTTGAGCTTCAGTGATGTGTTGTTGTTGTTTTACTTTGTATTTCTTTAATAATGCGATCGAACATATTTTAATGAGTTTGTAAGTCATTGATATTGATTTTCATGTGAACTTCCTGTTCATATGCTTGGTTCATTTTTCTTTTAGATTTGTTGTTTTTTCTCATTGATTTCTAAGTACTTTTTATACCTTAAGGTGTTTCTCTGTCGAATGTGTTGAAATATTTTTTTCTAGTTTGTCATTTTCTTTGACTTTTTTATGCTTCCTTTTTTCCCTTGAAGAAAGGTTTAATTTTTATGTAAATAAATATCTTCTTTTTCTTTCTTTTTTTAAAATTTTGTGTTTTGGTCAGGCTTTTCTCAAAAATGATACAGAAAATACTCCTATAGTCTCTTTTTTCTTTAATGAAAAATTTAAAAATATGGAAAAACTCAAAATATTATTATATAGCATGAAACCACCATCCAGAATGAACAAACTTTTAATGAAAATTTTAAATATCTTCTGTTAACCTTTGATATGTATGGTATCAATTTTGATATGAGGGCTGAGATCAGCCTTTTTTTTTTTTTTTTTTTTTAGATCACCAATTCTCCAAATGCCATTCAGTAATTCACCCACTATTTCCTCAAGCTTTGAAATGCCGGGTTGGGGTTATTAACCTTTGTTATACATTGCAGAAATTATCTGTCTACCTTTGTCTTTTAACTTTGGTTATGATGATGTTCATTTTACAGAAGTCACATTGAGTCCTTTTCATGCTTTCCATGAGACTGGTGAATGTAGCTTTATAGATGCCAGGTGTCCCAGTCCTTCCCCAGCAGGTGGTGACAGGGCTCAGTCGGGGAGCTCAGTGCCGTGACTCCCAGGTAGTGGCATTGAACTGCATTGCTGACCTCAGAAGTCTGAGGGCAGCACCTTGGTACCTGGAATGGACGCAGTGAACCGGCTCTTCAGGAATGACCTCCATCCGCACCCCGGGGATTGTTCTCATGTCGGCCGGGAATCCTTCTTGCAGAGATTTTGGGAGCCAGAATAAAGAGGTGGGTATGTCCTCATCTCCAACTATGTTTTCCCTCCCTCTCTCAGAAAACAACATGGAAGCCAAGTTCCTGGGAAATGCGCCCTGTGGCCACTACAAGTTCAAGTTCCCCCAGGCAGTACGAACAGAAAGCAGCCTTGGGGCCAAAGTATTCTTCTTCAAAGCACTACTACTAACTGGAGACTTTTCCCAGGCCGGGAAGAAGGCCCACCATGTGTGGGTCAGTAAGGACGAGCTGGGTGACTATTTGAAACCGAAATACCTGGCCCAGGTTAGGAGATTTCTGCTGGACCTCTGATGGACTGGGCTGCCTGTGGACAGTGCTCGGACAGGTCTGCGGCGGGGGCCTCGGGGACGTTTCATGGTTTTCCCATCTTTTCAGGGAATATCAAGAAGCAAACTAAATTCTGAGAAATAAACAAGTTTATCAACGTGTGGGTGTTGCCCTGCTTTGTCCTTTGAGGGGCATGTACTCCGCCTTCTGTGTAGAGAGCCAGTCTTGGGTGCCTTTCTCTTTTTCTCTCCATGCTGGTAATTGAACATTGTGTTACTTTATAGTCAATCAGCAGGCTTCCTGGAACCAGGAAGAAAGAGCAGAAGGAAGTGAATCGAACTTGTAAAAGCCTTGCATTCTGTGAAAGCTTCTAGGCCCATGGAAAAGGGGGGGGGGGGAACCCACTAGGTCTGTGTGTATTTTTTTAGCTATTTTTTCTTTTGTTATTCCTTCTCTTTCTAAAAAAACAACAACAAAGTATTACCTTCTGAAGGTTGGGCCCCTTGTTTTCCAGGCTGCCCCCGCTAGGTGAGTATTTTAGGAACCCATCTGTATCACTGTACCAGCTGGCGTTGTGAGAGGCTGCATTTGGCTTCAGGGAGTTTTTTGAAGACTCTCAGTGCATTTGCCCATTTCATGATGGTGATTTACGAGCGCACCTGCCCGCCCCGCGCTTTGTGTTCAGCAGTTTCTGACCAAAAATGGTACAACCCCTGTGGTCCACCCTTCCTTTTCACCTGATCTAACCCTGAACAACTTTTATTTGTATCCCCGGATGAAAAAATGTCCTCAGAGGGAAGCGGTTTGCCAATGTGGAAGAAGCGAACAAAAAGCAAAAGCACTAAAAGGCATCAAAATCAACGAGTTGAAAAGCTGTTTTGAGCAGTGGAAAAAATATCTCAATAGGTGTATTGCATCAGATGGAGAGTCCTTTGAAGATGACTGAAGTTTAAACCTGTAACAGTAAATACACAATTTTTTAGAAATAAATTCTGGGTGGGTTTTTTTTTTCCCCCGCCCCTCAGTCTAGGGAATAATTCCTGCTCTTTCTTTCTCGTATTCATTTTTTAAAAAGCATTTTATGTTTAAACAACTTAATCATGTTCTGAAACAATCATGTGAAATAAGCAGTGTCAGCTTGTTCTCTGCATTTAACAAACGGGGTATCATGGCTGGAGGTGACTTGGCTGAGAGCCGTGCCGCAGGGCACTGAGGCTGCAGGAGGAGGGTGCTGAGCCCTTGCCTGTGGGTTGGGGCTCTTGATCTTGGTGCACCACCGCTGGCACGTGGAAGGCACTAGAACCTTTGCTAAATGAGTGAAGGAGGGAGGGTCTCAGGGATGTCTCTCTGGCCAGGGTAGTGCCCCGGCAGCAAGGCCGTGGTCTTGAATCCCATCAAACTTCCGGGTTTCCTCTCGGGAACCTTTCTGGCCTGTGTGATGTCAGCTGGTGAAATGGAATTTCCATATTTGCATCAGGTACAGCCTGGTTCTCAGACAGGATCAGGGAAATGTCCTTCTCTGATCAAAACTGAGGTGCTTCACCCTGACCACCTCCTCCTGTCTCCTGCATGTGCTCTTTCCCCTCAGTAATGAACTGTTTCTAGCCAAGGCTCAGTGATTTGCTGGGCAGCAGTGGTGCTTTTCTCATGAAGCCTGGGCAGTAGGAAAAGGTACGGGCCACTGGCAGACCAGGCATGCATTTCTCTTTTTGGTTTGAGTGAATTGTGTGTGTAAACTGCTGTGTATTCACTGCAGGGACCTCTAACCTGTGAGGGAAGGAATCACTGGGCTGAGGTGGTGACTGGTTTCATGACTGACATCTTGATTTATAATAAATATATTTGGTTTTCATCCTCGTTCATTGACACAGAGCGCCTAAACCCTTGAAATTTCCTAAGTGTTGAGAACAGTCAGGGTCCCTTATGTTAATAAAGTGACTTTTGGAAAGCTCCTTGGCAACCAGGGGAGCCAACCATGGGATTAGAGGGTTGGAACTTTCAGACCCAGCCCCTGACCTCCAGGGAGGAGAGAGGGGCTAGGTGTTTAGATCTCGCCAATGGCCAGTGGTGTAGTCAGCCATGCTCACAGCAACGAAGCCTCCGTAAAAACCAGAAAGGACATGGTTTGGAGAGCTGCTGCTGGGTTGGTGAACTCGGGGCGGGGGAGGGGGGTTTGGGGAGAGCGATGCGCTTGGGGCAGGCACAGAAGCTGTGTTCCCTTTCCCTGTACCTTGCCCTAGGCACCTGCCATCTGGTGTTCCTGAGTTATGTCCTTGTATAATAAACTGGTAATCTAGTAAAATGACTCTCGAGTTCTGTGAGCTGCTCTAGCAAGTTAGCCAAGCCAAGGAGGGGGATCACAGGAGGCTCCGATTTAGAGCCAGTGGGTCAGGAGCACAGGTAACAACGTGGGCGTGTGATTGGCGTCTGAGGTGGAGGGCTGTTTTGTCGGATGGACCCCTTCGGGTATGGGATCTGGTGCTGTCTCCGCGTGGATAGTGTCAGAGTTCCGTTGAATTGCGGGACATTAGCTGGTTCCTGAGGGTTGCTCCGTGTGGGAGAAACACCCACACGATGGAATTGGCACCAGAATCTTAATTCACTCATAAGGTGGTCTGTTTTGTTTCAAAGTTGTTTCTTTAAAGGGAAATAGCATGTATACAACTAGTAAATAGAGAAATGGTATCAGGATAACCTGAAATTAGGTTAGTTCCTGTGAGGTTTTCCCTGGAACATTAATATTTTGAAACGATCAGGGACAGGATTGAATACCTTGAGAAAGCCAGAGATTTTATAGATGTGCCTTTCTTTATTGCAAGTAGTGGCCGGTTTAGGAGCTTCAAGACTCACTGCTCGCTTTTGCATTGTTAGGCTGTCTGGGAAACCAAGTGGCTAGGAGTGTACTGCAGAGATACTCCCTCCTCCTTGCCCCCACCTTTTGTTTTACAAAATTGATGAAGAAAACCTCCCCTGGGACGTTTTAGATTTTGATGGAGCTAGCCTCTGCTAGGACCTGCATCTCAAAACACCCACGCCTCAGGAAGAAGAATGAAGTCCCCTGATTAAGGCTGCAGGGTACTAGTGGGGTTAACTAGTTTAGCGTCATCAATGGGCTTGTTCTGTTTTGTTGGTGCTCTGGCTACAAAACTATAGATTTTAGGTGGCCTGCCCCAAACACATTCTCCCAGGAGCCCTGTTCTTTCTGGAGTGTGATTTTGCAGAATTTTGGAGATAAAATTTTTTTTGGCATTACAGTAAGAATGTATACACAGAGTGCCAGCCCGCTTCTACTGGCTGCCAAACATGACTAGAAAATTGCTTCTCGTGCATCCTTTGGGAGAAGGTCGCCAGGGAACAGAGACAGAGGTGATGCTCTCTGGGCTTTAGGGGATGAGAGCTTTCAAAGAAAATAGTGGGAGGACAAAGCGGCAAAGTAGGTGATGTGGGGCTAGGGGATGCAGTTGGAGGTGTTCGTGCACCCTGAGAAATGCCCGCGCGTGTGTGTGTAATTAACATGTAGGACACCCCCCCCCCCCCCCCGCCCCAGCACACTGGAAGGCTCTTCCAGAAGTTTAGCTCCCCAACCTGGTCTTTGCCTGGTGACGTTCAGTCACTTCCGTTTTTCACTTTTGCTGTGTTCCTGGTAACGTATCCTCAAGAGTTTCCTTCTGCTGGGCTGTTTCTGTACCTAGCATGTAGGAGCACTTCCCTACTCAGCACTCATAGGACGAGTTGTTTGTTAGTCTGGCTCCCATACCTGCTGAACTTCCAGATCCTCAGGCAGAGCCTGCCTCATGCCCATACTGAAAAAAAAAAACAAAACAACAAAACCCAGGAAACAAAAAGTACTTAAGTAGATCACCTTCTTTCCTCATGAGACTTGAACTTGGGAGGCAGAAAACCTGGGTTTGAATTTGATGACCTTCAGCAAGGTACAGCTGCTATCACTCTGAGTGACAGTGGCGTGGCCTGGAGTGGCGTGGCCCACAACATGCATTTCCATGTAAACCAGCAGGGCTGGCATTGTCACCCCTGCACAGCAGATGAGAGGGTGGTCTCAAAAGCTTGCTAGTAAGTAGCGGCATCAGACTCTGAACTCTGATCTGTGCACAAAGCTAGTTCTTAACCTTCCTTAGCTTTCCCTTTCTCATCTGTGAGATACAGATAATACTCTTTTTCAGATAATGTGATAATTTATGTGAAAGTACTTAGCACCATGCATGGCTTGTTACGAACACTCAGTAAACGTTTCCTCCTTCCTGCATTTTTAAGATTCCTCAGTTCTGAATTTAACTCTATTGTCTGTAGCCTTTACATCTAGTCTTTCCCTTTCCAGGTTTTCTATTTTGCGGCAACTAAGTTTCTGATGTATTTTGATAAGGGACATGGGTAATTGGGACCTTAGTGGATTCATTCCATCAGCTGATCCCAAAATGGGTGGGTGGCAGCTCAGTCCCATAATCACACCCAACTGGCTGGGCAGGGTAGCCCAGTCGCGTCCCAGGCCAAGAAACCCAGAGCCACTGCTCGGCACAGGCTGATGGGGCACTAACAAAAGAGACTTGCTGACCCCTTCTGCTGCCCCAGCAGGGAAGAGAAGCACAGCTGAGAGGTTGGCGAGCAGTTACTAAGAGCGCTAAGCTGCAAGCACACACAGCAAGATAAAGCCTGTGTGCCCAAATTCTTAGGGCAGCTGCAGCCCCCCACCCTGTGCTGCTCGGTCCCCTGGAAGCCTGGGTCAGAGCCAGGCACTTCAGCCTCTCAGTCACCTGCCACTTGCCCTGGAACGTTGGCGCCTAAGGCCACAGGAAGCGAAAGAGCGAAGGGCTCTGCTCCCTGCGTCCAGGAGAGGGGTCCAGAGTAGGTGCTGCTGTACAGGCCCTGGGAAAGGACTCGACGGCAAAACACTGCCGCAGCTGAGGGGCTGGCGGAGGAAGGTCCCCTGTGAGTCGGGTGGGGACAGCCAGGGAGGGCATTGCTAACCTGGAGCCAGGAGTGGGTGCATGTATGCACGCCCACACGGAGCAGCTGTCCTGCCCCACGCCATCCTCACATGGGCCAGAGGCGCCAGCAACAGGTTTTGCTGAGAGGTCTCGGCAGTACAGGAACCCCACTGATGGCGGGGAGCCCAGGTACCTAGGCCCCAAGCAGCTGCAGAGTGGCTGAAGGCGGGACAAAGGTGAGGG